AGGTAATTGTATGTAAATCGTAAATGATTGATGTTGCGGTTTTGGTATAATAAGAGGGATGTGACAAAAGAAAAAGAACACGAGTCAAAAATAACAAACTCCCATGATCATGTGTAGATGCACCAAATGCAGGAACAATTTGTAGATAGTCGTGCAGAAAATCATCCATTGTAACTTGTATATTCTCCTCATCCAGATGTTTAGTAAGACCATCCATGCTTATCTGACGATTTAAAGCAAATGAAACAGCGCTTTTCACAACACCTTCAAGTTCAGCTCCGCTGTAATTTTTTGTCCTTGCAGCTACAACCATAATATTAGAAGCTAAACCATGGGATGACATGAATAACAAATTTTAGCCGTCTCTAAATTTACCTAAAAGGATATTGCATAATTAAAGAACAAGCATACAGGGACCCATTATTTCATATTTAATAAGGATATAAGTGACACAAAATAATAGTCATCCAAAACAGTCATACTTTGATCGCATTATTAAATTTTGAGCCTGAAGCTGGTGATGAGCAAATTCCTCACCATGGATTTAGCATAAATAGCCATGTAAATAAATTCCCATGTATTACTCATGTATATGCACTCAATCCATGCAATACACACGCTATTTATCATATTAAATGCATTACAAATGCATATGAAGAACATTGAAGTTATTCAGAGTCAACATGCTTTAAATCTCAAGTTTACTGACGGTCAAGTCTATTTATGCCTTTTAAATAATTACAAATTGAACAAATCTATTAAAATTACTTGTCAACTCAAAAGTCAACAAGATATATGAACTCAAAATTTTACTTAATAAAGGACGCATGGAGGAAAAATATAGATTCCAACCATTAATAAAATAGAAGCAGAATTCCAATTTATGTGCTCTGTATATCTTGGATTCGTAGGACTTTAATTATCCAAGAAAAATAGGAAATTATTCAAAAGAAAAAAAATATTTAAGTAGTTTTAAATCCTTGCCTCTCCTAATTATGTGATCTCAAAACAAATAGTGCTAAAGATCCTAAAACAAATAAACTTTAGCTTATTTGATGAGTCAATTAGATACAAGATAAAAACAAATAATTGTTATCCAGTGTGTAAAAAAAGTAATTAAAAAATCTAAATAAAAGGTTCTACTTTCTGAAATCACATACCAAGCTCTTGAAGGTCAATGTCTGCTGCAAGAAAAGAATCTTCATTCATTTTGTTTGTATGTACTTGAAGTATTTGTAAACGTCCATGTTCATCAGGGAGCTTTATTTCGACATGAACCTCCATGCGTCCAGGCCTATAACAGAACACAAAGGAACCTGCTTAAGTCTGCTACAAGTATGCAAGAGAATGTCATGATGAACACAAAGGACATTGAAAGCTACTATAACTTCATGTGACCCAACAGCGTGGACTTGTATAGGTTAATAAGATCAGAAAGAGAAAGAATATTGAATAAATTTCTAGTGCAGAGTCAAAAAATTAAAAACACTGATAGACATGTATCAATATGATATATGTTTGCTGAAGAGAAACTAACCTACAGCTATGAATTGTACCAGCAACTAATTGAATTGCACAAATTAAAGTTGCTGAAGAGAAACTAACCTACAGCTATGAATTGTACCAGCAACTAATTGAATTGCACAAATTAAAGCATACCTTTGTAAGAAGCAACCTACAGCTATGAATTGTACCAGCAACTAATTGAATTGCACAAATTAAAGCATACCTTTGTAAGAAGTTGATTCACTATGATGTCATGTACTCCAGTATCATTCCTTGTTGAACCCCTAGACTGTAAATATAGGATAAGATAAGTAAGAAATATTGGGCAAGGAAGCATGATTATGCATCAGAACAACATTCCATGTGATATCATATATCCAACCTCTTAGATAACAATATGAGCCAATGTGAAAGTATCTATGAAACCGAACTATGTAAAAATAGCATGAACAAATACATATTATGAATAAGAACTGAAATGGACTGAAATTGAAAATTACCTTTACTGATAAGTAACTTCTCAGCCTTTCGCTACGTAGTTACGAAACAGAAATTAGCTGAATCATCAACAAATAAAACAACTTTAGGAACGATATAATTTGTGCATTAAAACAAGTAATGAAGATTAAGAAGATTAATAAAAACTTGAAATTTAAACTATACTTTGAAGTTGTATACATTAATAATTACCTAAATATAATCATAATCTTATACTGGAAAAGTGCACAAATAATAATATAATATAAATGTTTCTGCATATCTAATGAAACATCAGTCAGGTATTAGAATTTTTGAGTTATTAATCTCTATTGCATCTTTGATAAGTTAAATATTCCACAAGTGCACATCTATAACTATTTTTGGAGCACATGGTCAACCGACTTATATATTTTGATTCCATAATGTTGACATTCAATTCGTGGTGTGTAATCAATGAGTTGTTACGACAATGAACATGTTATAGGAAAGGGAAAGAATGAAAGGGCATCATATATTGCCTGACATGTATCTTCTCAATAATACAATGTCTTTCCTTATATTATTTCATCTTGCAAAATCTGTTACTAGTGAAGTATATGAATTTTAGATCATCAGAAATGAATATTGATGATTGAACCCTTTTTTTTTAAAGGTTTGCAAAGAGAAAATTGGATGAGTCAGTTTTCTATGGAAACCGCCTTCAATTCAGGTTTCATATGCTCCTCAGTTCGAAACCCTTTCAGACACCAAGGAGAAACGGGAGGGAAGGAGGGATGAAGTCTTGGGACGGCTAAAGCGTAAGTTGCCTAATTAATGTACCACCATGCATTATATTTACCTTGTTGTCAATTAAGAGTCAAATTCTTCTCTTGCTGCCTAATTAATGTACCACCATGCATTATATTTACCTTGTTGTCAATTAAGAGTCAAATTCTTCTCTTGCCATGATCCTATTTGTTGCAGATGGAAAAGGTCAAGGATCAAAGAGCATCTCTCAAGTTGCTCATCATCCTCGTAATAGGGCAGATACTTCTCAGTGTGGGCAAGCTTCACCAATGCTGAGACATCTTAGAGGGTTATTTTTTTTATTGTGCCTATTCTATTAGTGATGTAAACCACCCCATAGTCTTATAGGGATTGTTCTGAAGGATTTCTACTGCATAGTAGAATAATATTATATACACTATCAGAGCTGAACTTTCCAACTTATTGGCTCTTGTGTTCTGTGTGCAGGAATACTTCCCATCTTCGTCCATGAATCAGACAGTTCAATTGGTCAGGGAGAAGCTTGATAAGGTAAACTAATTGTTTACTACAGTTTTTCAGCAATATATTTAATTCACTGTTTTTTTGAACAAATTCTTTCGTACTCAATCTACCATTTACAGATAAAATCAAGCGCAGATAATGTGGAAGCAGGTCCAGCATCCAAAAGAACGTGATTAGACAGCAGAAGAAGAATTTGATGTTGCATGTCCAAAGTAATCATTTTTGCTTAAGTAGAAAAAGGAGAGAAAACCTAGCACAGTTACTTTAAAAGATTATTTGGAATGTGTGTATATATATACTTATAGTAGCTTTAGTTGGTGGGCACCCAAATACTTTGCATGCACATGTTCTTGGAGCTGTCACCCTACTAAAATTTCTTTTCAGAGGCAGAGCATATCATCTTAAATTAAAAGATGTAACAACTTGGTCCATTTTCTCCCTCATGAATATTCAATCATCACTGCAAATTCAGTTAGAAACAAATCTAGCACTCCCTATCTCACTCAAGTTTCAACTCTTGTATCTACAAATACTATATAACAAAGTCCTCCACACATAATTTCCTCAATTCAGCTAAAAAAAGGAAATTATTCATCAAATTAACTAAAAGGACCAAAATCATAATTTCCAACAATTATAATTGCAGATTTAGTTAGAAACAATAGAACTCCCAAAGACAATCAACATACCCATGGCCATGCCCATTCCTCATCATGGACATGTTTCTGGGTAATCGGAGCCCATGTAAGTGCAACTAATTTCTCACTAAAGATCCTAACTTTTTCTCAAATCTAAAAAAAATTTAACAAAAAATAACAATTGAATTTTTACCTGATGAAATTGACACAAGAGGAAGATGAAAACTTGAAGCAAGCCCTAATTCGGACAACCCTTGACCTATTGTAGAATTAGAACAAAATGAGATGAAGGCGAATTAGAACAAAATTCAATGAAATCATTCATTAAAATTAAAACAAAATGAGATGAATGAAGAACAAAAAGGAGAGATGGTGGATTGATCAGAAAGCATAGGTAAAATATAGAAATACCTTCTTCAATGAGATTTCCTCCTGATTCTAACCGATGCCAAAATACTGAGAAAAGATAAGATGATGGCGAAGGCGTTGCGTTGATGATTAGGGCAATAACACTCATCTTTGTAAATTGATGATTTAAGATCGTGTGAAGACGTAACCGAAGAGCTGAGGAGATGGCCTGAGAAGAAGGGTAACAGATGAAGTGGTGGGCGGAGAGAAACGTGTAACCGACGATTGGATTTCCGATGAACTGTTTATAGGGATGATGAAGTGTTTATAATGGCGTAATCGATGAACTGTTATACGAATGTAAGGATAAGCTTGGCATATTTAAATTGGTTGAAGGTTAATTTGGAGAGAGAAAAGTTTTTCTTGAACTCCGTCTTTTAAAAGGTAGATAGATAGATAGATAGATAGATAGATAGATAGATAAATACTATAAGAATGTCTTGCATGTGGGTTGGTAGTTTCGCACTGCTAAGAGGGTAATAAAATTTCAAAATAACATCCACTACTTACTTACTCACATCACATGCGGATACTTCTGGTAGAATTTGGATAATTTTTGCCCACAACCCGTTAATCCAAACCCGACTACCATCTCAATCAGATTTCGGATTCTGCGATCCAATCCGACTACGTACGACCCGCTCGCGCAAAAACCCTAGCCAATCTCATCAACGCTCAGAAACGAGCGCACAAACGATCTCAGTCGTTCGTTTCTCTTTATAAGCTAGTTTTTTCCACGGTACCCGATCTCAGACCTAGGGTTTTTTAGTTTTGGAAAGTTTCCCTCGCCGTTCTCAGGTAACTCGGCTCGTTATCGATATATTCTAGGGCATGGCAATTCAGTTCCCTTCCATTTCTCTGTTAAAGTAGCTTGGATCTAGTGGGATATCACAAGCAGCAGTGATTTTTATAGATTTTTTGTCTGTATTTTTGGGACTAGAAATTTGTTCTCATACTTTTGACATTTTGAATGTTTATTTTTCTATTATTATTACCTTTATTGTTCTCTGTTTGATCTCTCGCTGCGGTTGATAGAACTTTAGTTTCTGCAATTAGTTTGTAGTTTTAATTGCTGAAGTTTTGTAAAAATCTCGCTCCATCTAATCGCATGTGCGATTATATTAGTTGTTCTCATTGTTACAGAGCAAGTGTGTCGCAGTAACAGCTTAGTGACATTGTATCATTTAAACAACGTCTTATTTAGTTGGCTTTGTTCGAGTTTTTTTCTAATGTGATTTGATATCGGGTCACGATTGATCTCATCTCATGAACGAAAGTCCATGTAAATTAATTTTGCAGTTTATATTATTTTTTATTTTAAATAATGCAATTTTCTCCTACCCATGAATACTTGGTCGGGACTCCATTTCTGTTTAATGGCTGAACCAACCCCCCACAAAAAAAAAATTATGAGATGAAAATCAAGGCTGGAGTCTCTGAATAGCTCTTTTTTTTGCTGAAACCCTCGGCTGGGTTTTTGGAAAAGATATACTTTAGAGCTTGAGATTTGGCATTGTTGAAATGCCATAGGCCTTTGGTCGCCGGGGATATTTAGCCATTATATCAGAATATTGGGTGTCCTCATCCAGTGATTTGTGGTTATGGGTGAATTTTGCGGTGTGCATCATTTTCAAGATCCAACTTTTACTTTTGTACATTATTTAAATTGTTAATCTCAGTTGTCTTACATTCTATGTTAAAATTTATAATAGTGTATACTATATTAGTTTGTGTGGTTGGTCCTTTTTATTTTTTTCTTAACTTTTGATGTATCCGTTTTAAAATTTGTAATTAAAATCTGCTTTTAGAAGACATTATTCCCCTTTAAATTATACTTATTTTCATATTTGTCCATCAAATTTTTATAGCAGTTATCTTAAAAAATACTAGATTTGAACTTTTATTTTATACAGGATTAAATTATTTTCTCAGTTATATTGAGTTCTATGTCGAATAGTTTATAATTATTAACTTCTGTAGTTCTTATCTTTTGATGTGTGAATTCAGATTCTCTCTATTTACCCAATTCTTACTGACCATTCCAAACAAGGTCCCTTAGGATTAACACTTTTATGTTAAAAACCAGTTTTGTCTTTGAAAATGACGATTGTGATAGTGGAAATCCTACAAGGCCTTATTTCATCCCATGTAATTTTAATTGACGGTAATGATTGGAGTAATTAGACCCTCTCCAGTTACCACCTAATTGAGAGTATTTGGTTGGATAAGTTTACAATTAAAATCTAGTGTTTTTAAAGATTAAGTTCCCTAAATTATCCTTATTTTGATATTGGTCCATTAAAAATTTATAATAGTTATGTGGTTAAGATTTATACTGAATATTGGTTTTATATTGTTACCTAAGTTATATTGTTCGTGATGCCTAAGTTTTTAGTGTGTAATCATTAATTGTTAGCAGTTATGTCCTTTCTTATCTTATTTTCTTTTCTAAAATTTGGATATGTTAATCTGAATGTAGTGCTTTTGCTTCTTTTAACAGAAAAGTTCTTTTAACTCTTTATCTTTTACATTGTTATTCAATCTTTTCTTTCATTAATCTACTAGTTGCAGAATGTTGTCCTACTCTTTAATCATAGCATGCTGTTTCCTTTGTGTTGGTGTTTGTTTTCAGAATGCATCTTTTGAGCATTCCTTTACATTGATGGATGATATGTTTGTCTTAATTGTGTAAATTAAAATGAAATATTTCTGCTCCTTTTACCTTTTATTCTGTTAAAAGTGCTGGTCAATCTTTTCTCATTAATTTAGTAGCTGTGGAATTTTTGCTTATTCCTTTTGGCTGTATCATGCTGTGTGATTTGAAGCACTTTTCCTATAGTATGTGAGCTTATGTGATGTGACTAAGGATCAAATAACCTTCTCATGAACAGTCAGTAATGCATCCTCTTTTGATGTTCTTTTGCTTCCACTGAGGCTTAAAAGTTTAAAGGGAATTTTCAGAATTTCTGTTTTGATATCTGATTATGTTTTTCTTTGCTGTCTAACATATTTAATTTCACGATAGTTGTTTAGTATCAATGCTATCAATTGCCCAGAATAAATATTATACTAGAGACACGGGTTTCTCAGATTTTATCTTTACATAGGTTAAAAGCAAGGCGCTATGTCTCATCGCAAGTTTGAGCACCCTCGTCATGGTTCTCTTGGGTTTCTTCCCAGGAAACGAGCCTCTCGCCACAGAGGAAAAGGTTTCTCTTCTTACACTGAATAGCCATTTTGGCACCGTTATCCTTGTTCCATGCTGTTTGGTAAATGTGTCCTTTCTTACACTAAACTTTGTAATTTATGCTTGACATACACTGTTTATTTGTTTTATATTCTTGCATGTAAAGTTAATGAATTCCTACATCCATGTGATTCTTTTGAGATTCTATACTATATTGGCCTCAGCAAATTCACTGTTTGATACGTCTGACATTTTTTGCTTGGTTGATATTTACAATGTTAGTGCATTCAAAATCATATGATTGACTTATTTTATAAAGTTAGGCTAATCTACATTTAATTGCCTGTTTTATAACATAACAATTATATATAATGTGTGTGGGGCACACAGGAACGAGTGCTTGACATCTTATGGAGTTGCTATTATTGCCTTTTACTTTCTCTTCACTTATAGCGCATAATTTCTTTTAGTTCATTTTCCATACATTGTTTAATTTGAATAATGTTTTGGAATTTCAAGTTATGGCTACATGCATCAAGTTAATAGGCTTTTACAAATTGGTGGCTTCTGTCATTTTGTTTTCCACATCATATAGAGATAGGTCTTACCTTTTTTATCTGATTTATCATGGTATTCTGAAATTTGAACACATAATTAAGTTCAAAATAGTAACTGGAAAGAAGTATTCTTGTATAGAAATGGGTTTCTAATTATGCGTACATTGCTGCAAGTCCGACACTTCTTCACTGTCTTGGTTGAGAGAGTGAAATAACAAAACCATTATGTGCTTGTAAGTTGAGTTATTAGTATTTCAGTTTACAACCTTTATTGGATCAGATTTGTATGTTACTTGCATTCTGAGTATTTAATGGCTATTTGTCACACAGTTAAAAAAAGAAAATGTAATCTGTCACATAGTTATGTTATGTAAAGGGCTGTTTGTTTGACTAAAAAAAAGAGGGAAATCAAAGAAATGGAAAACTATTTCTAAGAAAAATTGTTTTGGGAATGTTTGGTTGGCTAACCTGTTTGGTTATTTCCTAAAAAACCAAAAAATAGAAATGAAAACTAAGAAATCTCGAAAAGTACAATTTCACACATTTTCATCCCTAAAACTCACCCACAACATCTAATAAAATATCATTTTTATTTAACAACTCATCCACCACATCTAATAAAATATTATTTTTATCCAACAACTCCTCCATCACATCCACCACATCTAATAAAATTTTATTTTCATCCACAACATCACTCAACTCATCTCATCTCATATTTAAAAATCTCTCACATCATCCAATAAGATTGTGACAACTCATCTCATTAACATTTCATTTCTTTGTTTTCCTCCCAAAAAGCTAGGAAAACAATTTCCTTAAGTGTGTCACATCATCCAATAATATAATGACAACTCATCTCATCTATTTTCTTATTTTTAAGAAATAACCTAACCAAACAAAAGAAAACAACCTAATACAAGAAATAGGTTTCTTATAATTCATTTTCTTATTTTTTTTCCGCCAACCAAACAACATCAAAACAAGGTTTCTTATAATTCATTTTCTTATTTTTTTTCCGCCAACCAAACAACATCAAAACAAGTTTTCTTAAAAGATCACTCACATCATCCTATAATAATGTGACAACTCATCTCATCTCATCTTCATTTCTTTGATTTTCTTCTTTTTTTAGCAAACCAAACAATCCCTAAACCTATTTTTCTTAGAAATAGGTTTCATTTTCTTTGATTTCCCTCTTTTTTTAGGCAAACAAACAGCCCTTAAAAAAAGAAGGAAATCAAAGAAATGGAGATGAAGCGATGTTAGTTGTCACCTTATTATAGGATGATGTGAGTGATTTTTTAAGAAAACTTGTTTTGATGTTGTTTTGTTGGCCAAAAAAATAAGGAAATGAATTATAAGAAACTTATTTCTTATTTTCTTTTGTTTGCTTCATTCTTAAAAATAAGAAAATAAATGAGGAGATGAGTTGTCATTATATTATTGGATGATGTGACCCACACTTAAGGAAATCGTTTTCCTAGCTTTTTGGGAGGAAATGGGTGGAAATGAAATGTTAATGAGATGAGATGAGTTGTCACCATCTTATTGGATGATGTGAGTGATTTGAAATGATGAGATGAGTTGAGTGATGTTGTGGATGAAAATAATATTTTATTAGATGTGATGGATGAGTTGTTGAATGAAAATAATATTTTATTGGATGTTGTGTGTGATTTTTAGGGATGGAAATGGATGAAATTGTATTTTTTGAGATTTTCACCTTTTCATTTCCATTTCTTGGTTTTTAGGAAATCAACCAAACAGCCCCTAAACATAGTTGTCATTAAGTGGAGAACTTCTAAAATGAATGCAGCAGGTTATTTTTGCAAATGATATGCATATTCTATGCTGGTTATTATATCACAATGTGCAAATTCTATCTTCGACTGCAGTTCCCACGGGATGCAACTTCTCATAACGACATTTGCATTAATTAATGATTTAATTAATATGAGTATCTGATAGCCAGTAGTGTTCTACTTGGCCAGCTGATTATTGTTTACAGCCTGCTTTACTTCATTCTATAGAGCCAATCCTGGCTAAAACTAGTCTGTTACCATAGTCAACTGTTACCATAGTCAAATCTGACCTAAAGGTACTATTTCTGTAGCCAATGCTGGATAATGCTACTCCCATTTATAACCTTTAGGTTCTATAACATTTACTTATACAATAAATTATCTTAACAAAATCCTGTACAATGACAGAACATGCTAGCCCATGTTTTGCATGTTGCTAACTGAAAATTCTGTCATGTTGATGAATTTTTCATGGTTTTTTAATTTTGACAATGGGTTTGTTACAGTGAAATCCTTTCCCAAGGATGATCCTAGCAAGCCGCCTAGGCTAACTGCTTTCATGGGATACAAGGCAGGGATGACGCATATCGTCAGAGAAGTAGAGAAACCTGGATCAAGTAAGTTGTGTTTTTCCTCTTGTTGTGGACATTTTCCCCTTTTAAATGTCATGTAATTTATAATTTTATCTGTTCAATGTAGAGCTCCACAAGAAAGAGACTTGTGAAGCAGTTACAGTTATTGAGACACCCCCAATGATTGTTGTTGGTGTTGTTGGTTACATTAAAACTCCTCGCGGCCTTCGCTCGCTGAACACTGTTTGGGCTCAACATCTTAGTGAGGAAGTGAGGAGGAGATTTTACAAAAACTGGTACAGGTCCAAGAAGAAAGCTTTTACCAAGTACTCAAAGAAGTATGAAACTGTTGAAGGGAAAAAAGACATCCAGATTCAGTTGGAGAAAATGAAAAAGTACGCAACTGTTGTGCGTGTTTTGGCTCACACCCAGGTAACCTTTACACATTTTCTCCAATTTTATTCTTGTGTCTACATTATTTTATTTGATTGTTAATAGATAATTTAATAATGTCTCCAATTTTATTCTTGTTGTGTCTACATTATTTTATTTGATGGTTAATAGATCATTTAATAATGTCTCTAGGAGTGTGTTACTTGGTCAAATCTGAATCTAGAAAGGTTTAACTGAATTATCTGAGAGGAAATGACTTGCAATTTCAGAAAATCTGCTGTCTCTTCATTACTTCAGGTTTTAGTTTAAGAGCTCATCTTCCACATCAATGAAAATGTTTAAAGCCCTTACCTTCGCCAAATTTCATTTGATAAAAAAAGAACCAGCTAGGGAACAACCTTTTTGCCTTATAACACAAAATGCTACTCATATCATCTTCACTGATAATCATTCCAGCACATCGGTAGACTGCATCAATAGTGTTACTTAGTCTGTTTTTATTTCTAACATTAGAGGTGTCACCATACTTAGTTAACATTTAAATTGACATCTGTTGTTATCAGATTAGAAAGATGAAGGGCCTGAAGCAGAAGAAGGCTCACCTGATGGAAATTCAAGTCAACGGTGGAGATGTTGCCGCAAAAGTAGATTATGCGTACAGCTTTTTCGAGAAGCAAATTCCTGTTGATGCTATTTTCCAGAAGGACGAGATGATTGATGTCATAGGAGTGACAAAAGGAAAGGGTTATGAAGGTGTTGTTACCCGTTGGGGTGTGACCCGGCTCCCTCGCAAAACCCACCGAGGTCTTCGCAAGGTTGCTTGTATTGGTGCGTGGCATCCAGCTAGGGTTTCGTTCACTGTGGCAAGGGCTGGTCAGAATGGTTATCATCACCGAACTGAGATGAATAAGAAGATTTATAAGCTAGGGAAAGCTGGAGATGAGTCTCATCAGGCCATCACTGAATTTGACAGGTTCGTCGCATTGTTCTCTTCATTTACTTTTTTGGCCTTGCAAGCATTCACATGTTAATTGACATCATTTAGGAAAGTTTGATGGCCTGTCAAATTTACATGTTAGTGTATTGGTTTTTCTTATTTCTTTTAGGAGGTGCCGAACTTGTGATGCCTAGCTGGTTTCATGAACATAGGTTCTGTATCATATCATTTAAGTTTCTAATTATATTTGTCCGTGTGTCAGATGCATGAGCATCTTATCATTATTTATCTATTTATACTGGTATTCTTATCATATTCTGCACGTTATACGTTCAAATCGAATGGATAACCTGTCATTATTTATGATATTGTAATATTAGTCCGTCATTATCTGCATTTTATTCTCCCGAATTCCTCCACCATTCATGAACATAGGTTCTGTATCATATCATTTAAGTTTCTAATTAAATTTGTCCGTGTGTCAGATGCATGAGCATCCTATCATTATTTATCTATTTATACTAGTATTCTTATCATATTCTGCATGTTATATGTTCAAATCGAATGGATAACCTGTCATTATTTATGACATTGTAATATTAGTCCATCATGATCTGCATTTTATTCTCCCGAATTCCTCCACCATTCAGATACATGCATACGTTTGGGCTCTTTGGTCTTTTTTGGTTACGCTTTGCATGCAAACTACATGTTAGCTTTGGTTCTTTTCATCTGTTAGTGTGCTCTAGGGAAGACGACCCCTTCACGTTTCCTGGATACTCAGAAACTATATTATTATATTTATTTTATTATCTACAGTCCTGTTATTTTAGCCCTTGGGATGACTTAGGAAACTGAACGTATATGCGCAGGACTGAGAAGGATATTACCCCAATGGGAGGCTTCCCGCATTATGGTATGGTGAAGGATGACTATGTATTGATCAAGGGGTGCTGTGTGGGCCCAAAGAAGAGAGTTGTCACCTTGAGGCAATCTCTGCTGAAACAAACTTCGAGGTTGGCAATGGAGGAGATCAAACTCAAATTCATAGACACATCTTCGAAGTTTGGCCATGGTCGTTTCCAGACTACAGAAGAGAAGGCCAAGTTCTATGGAAGGCTCAAGGCTTAATTATGCCAGAATTTTTTTTTGGTGGCGCGGGGTGGTCAGTTGGGAGCTTCTTTTATTTCAGTCTAGAAAACTCAGGCATCTGTTTGTTACGTTTTGAGGACTGTCTTTTGCTTTGCTTGTAGGAAACTAATTTTGCTTTTAGCTATTTGTTTTTTCGTGTGTTATTCGATGCCTATTGAAATCTGCATGCAAGTGGTTTGGCTTTTTGGCTCAGCAGTAAATTTTGGTTCTCATCCTTCTGCCACGCTATATGCATCATCTCCCTGGTAGATGTTAATATATACAGCAAGGCATCGGCAGTAAATTTTTGGCACGTATTTGTTTTATTGTTATATTTGATCTACTTTATTTCATCAATCTTTTGATCTCTATCTCAAATTCAGGACCTTGGAATTGAGCTGATTCATCAGCTCGGTTTGATTCGAACCTAGTACAATATGATTTGTATTTGTCAAATCAACCAAACCAGCCACACCTTTATGGGTCCATACTGTCCGGATACGGTTAAGATATGATGCATATCATATTTGTATCCGCTTACTCATTTCGGAATACAGATATATTTCGATAAAGAAAATTCATATTCGTACCTGTTAAAATCAGATACGGTCACGAATATACACGTGTATATATAAGTGGGTATGTATGCAGATGCAAAACGGATATGAGAAAACTCTGATAGTATTGAGAAAAATATAGTTTATATGATACAAAAGAGTTTGTTAATATGTTTATTATATTGAAAAGTTAAGATTAGACATCTTGATCATCAAAATTAACTATAAATCCATAATCTAAGAATGGAAACTATCATAAGAGTGAGTAATATGTATTTGGATATTTCAGATACAGATATAGATATTTCATTACAAAATCATATCCGTAATCATATCCTATCGGTTATAGATTTGAGTAATCATATCCGTATCTTAACGGATACGGTTACGAGTATTTTCTCGGAGACGGATATAGTTTAGCACCCCTACACACCATCATATGTGATTTATTAATAGGGATAATTGTCGGAGTAAAATCCATTATCAAGGATATTCACTTATTTAATATCATTGACTTATTCAAACTAGTGTGTATCTTGTACAAAGCACGACCTCTTGTTTTTTCTAAGCATTGCATTTTCAATCTGCCTCCCTATAAAGTTTAATATATTTGATTTGATTATTGTATGTTTAAAATTAGAAATCATATCTACTGCTCTATACTTAAAAATGTATTATTCATGATATAGTAAATTTACTCCGTTATACTTAAAGGAGGACCCAAAGATTTATTGTTTATACTATAATAATTTACTGTAGCATTTACGTTATTATGAATAATAAATCTTCGGAGCCTCCTTTAAATATAGAGGAGTAGACAAGGGACTTGGTGCTTTACTGATTTCGTTTTGTAGTTTCAATATATTGAAGTTAAAAATAAAAATAATAATGATAAATAATAAATTGTTGGAAGAAATAGTTTTCGTATGCGTAGATGCTTAAACCCGAACTCGTTGCACTCTCTTTCTTTCTAGGATACTAGTAAGGGGTTGGTCCATGCAGTTATTGTACCTCAAAATTGTTATTTGGCCCGTTGATTCTCATAAATTGTTTAAAATAAATCTATCTAATTGTTAATTTCACTCTTGATTTTTTGAGCAAAGCTTTACTCTTTGATTTGAAGGAGCAATAATTTTAGAACCCGGACATTTCAATAATTTGAAGGACTAATTTGAAAATAAATTTAGAATTGGTGAATTCAATGATTTAAAGGATTGATTCAAAATATGAAAGATTTATGAGGGTAATATAAAAAAATTTGGTTATCTGGTGGCTTATTTTCAATTAGGTACCTTAAAGTTTCCATCCTATTACATTTTGATGCCCCCATAGTATTTTTGTAACCTTTTGATACCGTGGTGCTTTAATCACATTTCATTTTGAAACTTTGTCCAGAATATGTTAAAATTTTCTTTAAAATTTTATCACCTCCTCCTTAAATGTAATTTGCATACAATACAATTGCATCTATTTTACCCACTTGCTAAGCATGTGATAAAAAGTACGTGTTGAAAATTTTGTGTTCATCAATAAAACCTTTACGGGTTTTAGTGGACGTTCTTGCCCTCACAATATCTTACAAATATATATTATTTTTTTTATATTTCTTATATTTTCCGTTATAAATGGGGGTAGAAAAAGATTTTTGCCATAAATAAAGATTTACCACATTAAAGTAGGAATAAAAAGTTGCAAGAGCTTGATATGGTACGTGCCTCTGTGGGGCGCACCAGGTATTTGCGAAGGCAAAAGCTATAAGAGCAAGTGCATCAAGCTCCCAGTTGGGAGTCCTAGTCAGCAAGCTCTCAAGAGCTCTCAAGCATTTTACAATAAAAAATTAAAAAATTAAGCATTGGGAGGCACTCATTCTTTTATGGAGCTCCAACAAACTCCTAGTTAGGAGCTTCAACAATATCAAAAAAACCCCTCTTCTATTTTAATATTTTACCCCTTACTTTCAATTATATTTAAACCTCTTGTATTTTATTTCTAACCATTGGATACGGCTTTCGAGGGAGCGCACACGGTCTTCGAGGCAACCCATGGCCTTCGAGAGAGCGCACACGATCTTCGAGGTAACCCGCGGCTTTCGAGGGAACGCACACGGTCTTCGAGGTAACCCGCGGTCTTTGAGGTTGGGCACGAAGTTCGAGGTATCACAAACTTTGACCGTCAACCGACTGATTCCTATAAAATTCGATGGCTTCTCTCCTCAACCCATCATCTCCCAGAATAAAATGTCTAGCTCATCTAGCTCTAGCGATGATGAAATGATAAAGACATTCTTTCTTATGGGAGCTGTTGTCGTTGAGGAAGAAGAACAAGAGAAATGTTCAACTCCAGTTCAACACAAACGACGTATCGTGCTCCATCGAAATTGACTGGAAGGCCACAATCGGTTGTTCCAAGATTATTTTGCTGACGCACCAACCTATCCTCTTTATTATTTTCGTCAAAGATTCAGAATGACGCGTTCGTTATTCCTTCGAATCCATGACGCAGTCGTCGAACATGACAAGTACTTCGTCCAAAAGAGGAATGGTGCTGGACAGTTAGGACTATCTAGTCTTCAAAAGATTACTGCAGCTATGCGGATGCTCGCATATGGAGCATCCGCTGACTCCGTTGACGAATACGTTCGGATCGGTAAAAGTACGTCACTTGAGAGCGTGAAGAGGTCTGTTCGATCGATTATCAACATCTTTGGAGAGGAATACCTTCGTTCACCGACTAATGAAGACGTTGCATGCCTGCTCGAGGAAGGTTCACAATGAGGTTTTCCTGGTATGCTTGGGAGCATCGACTGCATGCACTGGACATGGAAGAACTGTCCAACTGCCTGGCAAGGTATGTATACTGGACATTTTTATGAACCTACAATTATTTTGGAGGCCGTAGCTAGCAAAGATCTTTGGATATGGCATGCCTTCTTTGGACTGCCGGGGTCTCACAATGACCTTAATGTTCTACATCGTTCACCGGTTTTCGCACAACTTGCGGAGGGAAGAGCTTCACCGTGCAACTATACTGTCAATGGCCACGAGTATAATATGGGAGACTATCTCACCGACGGGATTTACCCAGAGTGGTCCACATTAGTGAAGACTATTCCAGCACCTCGAGAAAACAAGCATAAGTACTTTGCTCAACAACAAGAAAGCACAAGAAAAGATGTTGAGCGAGCTTTTGGCGTGTTGCAAGCTCGATTTGCGATTGTTCGTGGACCAGGACGTTTCTGGCAACCTTGTGTGCTGAAAGATATCATGACAGCTTGTATCATAATGCATAACATGATCGTTGAAGATGAACGTGATTGCCAATTGGACAACAACTTTGACTTTACTGATTCGGTACCAGTCATTGAACCTTCTCATGTGCAGACGGTGCCTCTAACTGAGTTCATCTAAAATCATCATCGGATCAGGAACACGCAAACACACAAATCACTAAAAAATGATTTGATCGAGCATCTGTGGCAGCTCAAGGGATCCATCGCCGAGGATTAAGTTTCTTTATGTCTAATGTAATTTCAGAAAATGAGTTCAAGTTGTTGTACCACGCCAATTTCATTTTCAATAAAGTAGTTGTTTTCATTCAATGCCAAAATTTTCAACTTTAAGTACAATCATAAAATTTCATTTTCAATAAAGTAGTTGTTTTCATTCAATGCCAAAATTTTCAACTTTAAGTACAATCATAAATCTAATACAAGATAATATTTGATAATTAGGAAGAACTAATGAGGATGCGATGCGAGTACAATATATGATAATTAGGAAGAACCCTTGGATATCCACCTCTCCAATATCTCTGCCTGACGCATTTCAAAGTATTGTCGTTGAACTGAATTGAGTGTTGAGAGATCCATCTCTATGATATTGTCATCTTGTTTCTTCTGTTTTAGCTCTATTTTTTGATTGGTGGTTTGCTTCATCCACGCGAAAGCCTCTCCCATGATGGACATAGCGGATCCAGAGTTTTTCACATTTTGTTTCCCCTTGAGCTTTGCTGCTTTCCTCCCTTCAGGCCTTATTAACACATCATCCGAGTCGATGTTCAACTCGATGGGGGTCGCTGGCATGGAATTGTTTGGTGAGGAATCAGAGTTTGTGGTTCTTCTCAGCTGTGATCGAATCTTATTGTAAGTTTCCATTTGTTGGATCCACTTTTGATGATGACGCAACTCAACCCAGCAATGGTCAAACACGAATGGTTTACCATAAAGAGATTAGTATAATTTTTTTACTTCTGCAGTTTACACAAGAGTTAAATTTAGAATAATCAAACATAATTAAACATATATATTCCTCTCTTCAATGCTATGTTGTTGACATAAAAACATATAAGTTAAATATTTACCTGGTCAATAATTCCCGTACCAGATCTTTGTCTTCATATAAGTTAAATATTTACCTGGTCAATAATTCCCGTACCAGATCTTTGTCTTCCTTCAATCTGAGCAATGCACTCGCAGAACTTGTTGACGGACAGTTGAATCGTTGACCAACGATGCATCATTTGGTTTGGTGTGCGACTCGTTGGATCGGTAGAGTATTGGATAAAATAGTCGTTAGCTCTGTGCCAAAACTTATCTTTGTGTTGCCCCGTACCTTGGATGGCGTCTTGGCTCGTGTTCAACCAAGCAGACACAAGAAGCTTATCCTCGTGGACAGTCCAATTTTCGGACCGCGTGTAAGCCTTCTTCTTCTTTGTGGTCGGTGTCTTGGGATGACACTTGTTGTGTTGCCGATTGCGAGAACTCGATGGGGTTACCTTCTTCTACGACTTCTGTATAGAACGACGGGTATAAGGTCGATTCTTCATCGGTAAGGAGTTGTGAATAATAGTTTTGTGAGGGATCCATGAGATTTGTAATTTGATAGGGAAATATAGAGTTTTTTTATGAGAGAGTTGTGTGGAATGATTTGTGTATTGAAGTGAAATGAATTTATAGATGATTTTTTTATTGCTCATGCTATTTTTTTAATCCCAACAGCTAAATTTTTTAACGGCTGAATTTTTCAGCTCAACTCAATGACACATTTTCAAAACTTTTCTCTTCAACGGTACATTTTCATCTCAACGGAAACATTTTCACCTCAAATAACGCAACCAATTAAAAAAAAAAAAAAATCCAAAAACCCCTCTTCATCTCAACTTCGACAGACCCAACCCCACCCCCTTCGTCCAAACCTAACCCCAATCCCAAATCCTCTCCCTGCGACAGACCCAACCCCAAATCCTCTCCCTGTGACAGACCCAACCCCACCCCTTCGACAGACCCAACCCCAACCCCAAATCCTCTCCATCGACGGCCCTTCGGCATGCGGAGGCCAGTCGGAGGCCTCTTCGCCACCATCATCTCCGACCTTCCATGGCCACGTCAGCCTTGAGAGCCTCCATCAGAGCTTGCTGTCCTTGCTCTAAGAAATTACCATGATACCCTATGCTGGAGGAATAAATATTCTAATGATTGAGTTTGTTCAATGTTTGACATGGGCAAAAATGGACACTCATTCCTTAACTAGGAGACGACAGTCGAAACTAAAGCTGCTGATGGACTCCTTTTTATAAAGACAGATTTCTGTTCTTGGGATGTGTTATGACTAGGCCCTTGTCTATTTCATGTGATGAACGATGTCTAAGACCTCTTCTCGTTCATAAATGAGCCTCTATGGTTTAGGCTCCCTAATAACTTGAGTACCTAAGGCTGCTTTTGGCATGAGGATAAGGCTAAACTTAGTTAATCCATTGTGAAATGTTAAAAATATTCTAATTCTGTTTGGATTTGATAGTTAAGACCAGTGGTTAAGTTTTTTGTGTTTGGCAAATGAAGGAGGGCTAAGGAAATTAATGTCATTATTTTTTTAAAAAAATACCACTTTCGTCCTTACTTAAAATTTATAAATAATTACCTCATTAAAATAAAAGGAGCTTGAATTTATGTAAAGGCGACTATAAAAGTATTACAATTCTGTATTATTCAATAAATGATTGGTTAGAAGGTAAATAAAAACAAATTTTATCATTTTCGCGTCATTTAAAAAGCTAAAGAGACATAACGAGCTAACAAAATATTATATGGCTTCTTATCTATCAATAAACTTAGCAAAAAAGATTTGATTATTCAAGGAAATAACAATCTACTCAATAGCTCTATATAAAATTATAACTTTGGTAATATAAATATAATAAAAGACATAATTCAACCTCCTTATACTTTAATATTCGACAACTACCGATATCAGTTATTCCAAAGCTACAAGCAATCCTGTTGTGAAGCTGCTCACCCCTTAAACATTCATCTACACCAATCATGTATTGAGGGTCTTCTTCTTCCTCCTCATCATCTTCATCCTCATTCATCTCTAATCCATTGATCATATTATAGTATTTATCATTTTCTTGATGCCTTGCAATAAAATTATGAAGAACACAACAAGCTACAACGATTTTGACTTGAGTTTTATAAGGAAATGGAGCAACAACTTTCAAAATTTTGAATCTTTACTTTAAAATTCCCCATGCTTTTTCCACTGCATTATGTAGTTGTGCTTGTCTATGATTATATTTGCCTTTAGTATCTCGATAGACTCTGGTGGTCTTATTTGAAAAATCTCCAAGATGATAGCGTGATCCACGATATGGGGAGATAAATTTTAAAGTATTAGCATATCCCGAGTTAACTAAGTAAAACCGACCTACATATTTAAAATTCTCTGACTTTAGTACTAATTGATTCCAAATAAACCAAAAAGAAAAATATTAAAATTTACCTTCAGGAACATTAAATTTACCATCTCCAATGTTGCATGAAGTACTGACATATCAGATGCTGATCCCTCTCATCCAGTAGCAACATAAAGAAAAGTATGATCAAATGAGCATGCTGCCATTACATTTTGAGATATGAAATTCTTTCGATTACGATACCTGTTGTGTTTCTTTTTCTTCACAATTGCAGGAATATGTGATCCATCAATTGCTCCCAATGCTTTCTGCAAATATAAAAGAAATATGAAGTTCTAATGTATAGATACATACACACATTTAAAAAGATTTCAAAAAATATATGCTAAGAGCTCTACCTGTTGGCCTTCTTGTTTTGATGATGATTTAACAAACAATTTACATCTAATATTGTTTGTCTAGTGTTTGTATTTTGTTATTTATTATAGACAAACAATATGTTGGAGGATGGATATAATCGAGCATTTACGATCATATCAAATGGAGGTTGGCGGAATTGTAGAGTGAAGCAACGTATAATTCAAGTTAAAGATCAAGTTCAAGCTTCATCCGCATGTTTACCAAGTTGAGCTACAATGAAGATCAAGATCAAGCTTGGGTAATCTAGTTTAGATTTTATATTATGTGTGTTAAGTACCTTAAGCTCAATATCATATACACACATGTATTTAGTTTCTATGTATATATATAGTTATATATATACATGCATAGTTTTGAGTTTTCATGCTTTGGACACACTTGCAAAATACATGAGTTTTCACAAATAAAAATTCAATTTGAGAAATTCTTTTTATAACATATTTGTTTTCATATTTATAAATATTTCGCAAAGTTTCATCAAGTTTGGAATTGATTTGTTATGTTTAATGGAATTTACAAAATCATGTTTTTGTTCGTGCACATGTTCGTGCATGTTTTACAAAACAGATGAGTTTTTATAAATAGGAAGTGATATTCAAGAAATTATTTTTTTGACATATTTATCTACATGTTTAGAAACTTTCCTTAAAATTTTACTATTTTTGGAGTTGATCTACTATGCCCAATTGATTTTACAAAATCGCGTATGTCAGCAGTTTTTCAGAAACTGTAAATCTGTGTTCAATCATTTATATCTCTCAACTGGGAAATGATTTTTCATAAATTCTTTCTATAACATGTTATTCTACATGTCTAAAACCTTCCCACAAAATTTAATATTTTTGGGAGCTGTTTTACTATTTTTAATTGATTTTACAAAGTTGATACGCAGTGCTACAGTACCCACGGTCGACCGCCAAACTCTCTGGACGTTACTCAGCTTTGCATATGGCTCACGATCGACCGAAGTTACTGTAGCAGCCGACCATTACACAGTAACGGCTAGTTGCTATTTTTTGTTTTTTAATGGTTTTTGGGGTTTTTGGGGTTGGTTTCTTCAAGCCTATATATACCCCTTTGCCATAACTATTTTCTATCATCAAAGAGAGTTTTTAATCAAGTTTAAAAGAGTTTTAACAAGGGTTTTAGTTTGGTTTAAGTATGTTTAAGAAGATTTTAAGCATTTGGAAGTTTGAGTTTGAGAAATCATTTTTACAAGAGCTTGAGGAGATCATCTATTGGTGTTTGGGCATCCAACTATTCTCCTTCTACCTCTTGATCTATTGAGAAGTTTTCT